GGCATTGTAGGCGATATTCTACAATAGGCTGCCATGGTTTGTGACATGTGTTTAAAGACCTGAAAAAACACTTGGACGTTTGTCAGGTAGCCATCCCATCATTGCGGATTAATCTATCAACATTCGCCTTCCAGCGGCTTGGACCTTTGTCTTTGAGTTCGTGGGTTCGATTCTCGCTACGGACTCATGTCAACACACTGCCGAAAGTCGTGGGTTTTCTCCGGGTGCTCAGGATTCCTGTTGACATGGTGGGTTAGGATAAATACAGTTAATAAAGTATCATACAATTGTTGTAAAGATAAATAGTCTAGGCTACGTAAGTAATTAGGTAAGCGTAATACTTGATGTCATAGAAATGCTAATTGTAATCTTACACATCAACTATATTTACCAATCATCTTTCTAGGTCACGATTCCGATAATAAGGTCAAATAATTTGATACTGATTGGTTGACATACCATAGCATTGTCGATCACGTATTGAAGCAGGAAACCCAACACCTCGGCCTGTAAATTAAACCTTTAATATCCTTTCCTAACTGCAGCTACACCGAGACGCATTATATACTCTCAAACGTCCTTCCCGGATTGGTTTTTGTACATAATTGTGCATAAGAAATCCTCGGAATTCAACAATGTCGGTTGCTTGGAAATCCTTTGGGGGATCGAAAGTCGCCACAGCTGTATCTAAAGCGACGAGTCGTGAGATCATGGGACCGAAAAAAAAACACGTTGACTGTGAGTAGATATTAACATAAAATCTACACTAAACTAACTTTATTTATACTCGATAGCTCTACCAGTTCTAACTGTTCTCCGTAGAGGTCCAGTAAGGATTGTCTTTTATTGATTCAGTGGTACTACAAAAGGAAAATAGAATAGCCTTTGAAAGGCTGAGTCATATTGGAAGCATTCCCTTCTCGCATGCGAATGAGGTGAAATTAAAATCGGTAGACTGGTTCTACAGAAATCGAACTGATAGGTACATGCATTAACTATGGTCTATGCTACGAACTCCGCCAAAAGTTGGGGTGTTAATATCGGCGCAAATTGCGCAAAAGCTTATAGTTCTATTTATACAGATAAGGTACATCATACATATTTAAATAGGATTATGGCACAATGTAATGTAAGTTTGATATGAAAGTAGTTTGTATCTCTGCACGGTTTCAAACGGTTCGTCAGCTTTCGTGGGGCACTTTGCGTGACAAACGGTCGCCAAACATCACGTCATGTTAACCGCTTTTCGCTTTGTACATTGTACAATTTTGTGCGCGCAACTGTTTTGTTAACCAACGTATAGCCGGTTTTTATTATGGTTTTATATGTTAAGCAAATATTTGCGCAAGGATATATTATGTGATGTGAGCAAGTCTGAACGCGCAAACTATATAGCTTACATGTGTTTGTACATAATGCCTGTATAGTAACACACTAAATGTAAACATCTGTGTTAATACAATGGGAAGATTTTATGATGTTTCGCAATATTAACTGGTCCGTCACGTGTTGGCGGATAAAGATCATTAGTGTTTAAAAACAATCATCGCAAAAGATTATATCATGATATGACGTGATCTTACCTAAATCCTCTGACCTAAACCTGATTTAGTTGCCAGATTAGATGAACTTATGGATTGGGATAAAACGCGGATACGGATGGACGGATTGGGATAAAACGCGGATACGGACGGATTTGGACGGACGGACGGACAAAGAAATAAAATGCGGACAAAAAGAATAAAATGCGGACGGCGCAATGAAATGCATAATAAAATTGTTAAAAACATTAAATTTAAAAAATGACATTAACGTCAAAGACGGCACAAAGTGCCTCCATCACATTTAAAGTCGAGTCAGTCGACTACTCTAAAATATGATTGCTAAAAACAGTGTTAATTAAACTGTGATTTAGTTCCATCAAACGTTTCTTACAAATCCTTCAAAACTTAGAATTTATATTTATCTATATGCAAAATTCCTACTGTGGTCACAAAAACTCTGATAGTGTAAGCCGTGTATTTTAATTTAGATCTTATTACGTGTACATCCAACGAGCTGATGAACTTGTCCTATATGTCAGAAATGTTGCTGGCACGATGTCGTATGCCAAGCTGGGTGATTGTGTCAAAAGCTTTGGTCACCTTTCACTCTCTCATGTCCAATGGCAATGAGGTAGGTAGGTCGTAGGTTTGGTCAATTTTAGGCTAGCATTTCATATGCGAAATGAGCACTGAGCTCTTTATATCTGGAGCAAGAACTTCAGTCATTCGGCCTATGAGAAGATCGTAAACAGTTTTAATACCATTTTCCCCAGCTATAATTCCAGGGGTTTTTTCTAACGGACATTTATCAGTTCATAAAACCATATTGTTATTCTTTAAATCGATGTAAAAATACAATTTGTGATTCCTGTATGTACATTTGTCATCTCAGTCAATGTTACGAAAACGCTTTCTGTTTGACTTTACTGAACACTGGGTCTGGTCTTATTTTATATATAGTAACACTTGGCCAATAAGGGATTGCCCTTTAACACTGTACTTAAGAACTGGAACAATAAGAGATCAATGACTCTCACTTGACCTCTGGCTTAGGTAAGTTTAGGCATTGTCAATTTTCAAAAAAATGTTTTATGTTTTATAGAGATTCTTTCAACAATTGGCTGCAAGAACTTCACTTTGGGATTTGGAAAATTTTCTTGACAAGACAGCAGTAACAGGTAAGAATACGCTTTGTGTATTATGTTTGTTTGTTTGTTTGTTTGTTTGTTTGTTTGTTTGTTTGTTTGTTTGTTTGTTTGTTTGTTTGTTTGTTTGTTTGTTTGTTTGTTTGTTTGTTTGTTTGTTTGTTTGTTTGTTTGTTTGTTTGTTTGTTTGTTTGTTTGTTTGCAATCTCAGTTTGTTTACTTCAGTTGTTTACAAAATCTTCACAGGATATGATATGTCATCGTTCATCAAACGTTATTCCAAATACTTGATACAGAAAGTGCACTCTTGCAGGGAGATGAATTATGATTTTTGTCGTGCAAAACGAGGGTTAGTACTCCGATTATATGTGTACCTGTCTTTCATCTCGATTTTTAAAGTACACTTTGAGTCGTACACTTAAAGTCACAAGTCTGACTATAGTTTAATCTCAGTTGCCCCCCCCCCCTTCTAGAGAAGTCCAGCACCACCCTAAAACACATCTGCTTGACCATACATTTTCTGCTTTTCGAATAGCGATTAGCGGAACTTCTACTGTTAGCGCGTGTCGATTTCCTGAAACGATTTAATTGATTTGTGAGCTCACGAGAAAATACTCAGAATGCTTTAGTACAAGTCGAGGTTGTTATACAGCCATATTTTTAAATATACTGTATTTTAACAAGCAAATTTACTGTACTGTGCTACAGCAACTGTCCAGTCACGCATACGTGATAAAAGCCGATATAGACTTTATGAACAAAAGATGTATTGTAAAACGTAACAGAACGGCGAACATGCAGATTCGGTCAGTAAGGCTCCCTCATGCACCACCCCATGGAAAACCTACACCCTCCTTGCAGATGAGGCTAGATAAGCCCCTGAACACAGGATTATGAATGTAAAACAGTTTGGAATTGACAGATAAACCCGCAAATACATTTCTGCTTGTGTGTTCAAAATCATATGCCTATTGTTTTAGAACGGATGGAGTGCTCAGGACGTTGGACGCAGATAAGGTAAAGCGCACTTAAAAAAAAAACACTATTCCTCGGTACCCACAGAGAAGACCGATATAGTAACGGCTCGCGATATTTTAATTTCTAGCTTCTGAAAGCAATAGCTGAAATCCAAACTCAAATTGATAGCTTGCTCGAAGTCGATGTAAGTTTATAAATATTTATAATTATGATAACGTGATAATTTGATTGTGGAACTAAACGGTCTCATTCGTCATCTTCAAACATTTATACCTTACAGCTTCAATCAAGTGAATTTAGCAATGGCGTTATAAACAGTGCATTTGTGTTGTTATTTAAGGTATTATTGTTTGAAGACTTCAACATTTTGTTGAACCATTGTCGAGTCCTTTTCCCTTAGAATTAAACCCCGTACAGACAAAGAAATTCTCCTTGACAAGTTTCCTTGACAAGTTTACCTTGACAAGTTTGCTTTCTCGTGTGACGGTCAACAAGTTTTCCTTGACAAATTTCTTTGACAAGTTTACTTTTTCGTGTGTACGATCAACAAGTTTTCCTTGACAGGTTTGCATAGGCGTCGAAAGATCGATAAGTGAGTGGGGGGACCATATTCATATATTCGTGTTCACATACCTTAAAAACATTCGATTTCAAAAGAATAATAATGTTGACACGACTAGCTTTGGAAGAAGGCTTCTTGGCGAAGAAAAGTTGTCAATTTTTTGCTTTATTTCGAATTTAGGACTTGATAAAACTTTTTGCTTGTTATAACGATGGAATGATCAACTTGTTGGGCAAGTATTAAAGCAACGAGTGTTAATTTCATTTTTATAAGTTTAAGTATTAAATCGCAACAACTTCATGTAATCCATTCGATTTTAGAAAAATACTATGACATGAACAAGGAGAATTGTAAGGAAAGCTTAGAAATTTATAAGAAATTTCTCACAAGAACTGATCAAGTTTCAAAGTTTTTAACAGTGGCACAGGTATGGTATGGTGTATGGTATGATGTATGGTATGGTGTATGGTATGGTGTATGGTATGGTGTATGGTATGGTGTATGGCATTGTGTATTATATGGTATGGTATGGTGTATGGTATGGTGTATATGGTATGGTGTATGGTATGGTGTATGGTATGGTGTATGGTATGGT